CCACATTGCATTGGCTTGTTTGCTCAGCCTGGGTATGTCAGAATGAGCCACAGCCCCCCCCCCCCATGTTACTCCCCCTCTTCGGTTCATTTCTTTGTATTTGCTCCTGGAAAGTGTCCTGTGAATTGCCTGGGACTACCCCCTCTATATGAATAGGTTTGTCTTTTTCTCTCTTTAGAACAGAACAGGGGTCTTCAAACCTGGCCCTTTTATGACTTGGGGACTTCAACTCCCAGAATTCCTCAGCCTGTGTGCCTGGCTGAGGAATTCTGGGAGTTGAAGTCCACAAGTCATAAAAGGGCCAAGTTTGAAGAGCCCTGGAATAGAATAATAGACTTAGATTTAGAGCAGAGGTCTTCAAACTTGGCCCTTATGATTTGTGGACTTCAACTCCCAGAATTCCTCAGCTAGGCTTCCCAGCCTTTTGTGGGTGCTCCTCAAATCTTCTGACTTCCTTCACTCTCCCTTTGTTTTCCAACAGGGAAAAATCCACCAAGGAAAAACCCAAACCGGATGCTCCCAAATGTCGGCAAGGCCCCACCAACGAGGCTCAGATGGCTGCGGCCGCTGCCTTGGCTCGGCTGGAACAGAAGCCCAAACCCCGCCCTCCCTCGTCCCAAGACGCCATCCGGAATCAGGGTAAAATGTTTGGCGGAGTTGGAGGATTTCAGCTGCTGCAGGATGGCAGCCGCTCGAAATCTTTTCACAACCTGGTTCTGAAGCAGTGGGCAAAAACTTTGGTCTGCCTTCATCCTGGTTGATGGAATAAATCATTTTTTTAAGCCATTTCTCTGTAGCGATGGAGAGTGGTAGGAAATGCACATACACAATACAAGGAAATACAGATTGTTTTATAAGCCATTTCTCCGTAGCGATGGAAGGGTGTAGAAAATACAATACATTTCATTTAGTGACCATTCAAAGTTAACGGCACTGAAGAAAGTTTTTCACACTTATGACCGTCACAGCATCCCCACGGTCACGTGATCAAAATTCGGAGGCTTGCCCACTATCCTGTTTTTAAGACGGTTGCTGTCTCATGTGATCCCCTTGTGCGACCTTCTGACAATCAAACTCAATGGGGGGGTGAGTCAGAACCGTGTCACTAAGTGAACCGCCGCAGCGATCTAACTTAAAAACTGTGGCAAGAAAACTCGTAAAATGGTGCGAAACGCACTTCGCCAACGTTTTCACTTAGCGACAAATGTTTGGGCTCGGTTGCGGTCGTAATTCGGGGACTGCCCAGTACAGGTAGTCCTCGACGTAGAACGATTCGCTTTAGTGGCCGTTCAGAGTTAACAGCAGCGCTGAAAAAAAGGGACTCAGCGATCAGTCCTCGCCCTTGCGACCCTCGTCGCGGCAGCCCCACGATCGCGTGATCGGAATCGGGGCACTCGGCACCTGGCGTGTGTTTACAGGGGTTGTGGTGTTGTGTAGCCCTGTCGTCACCTTCTGACCGGCAAAGTCAACAGGGGAAGCTGGCTTTCCTTCACGACCCTTGGATTCGCTCAAAACAATCGCCGCCATGATTCGCTTAACAACGGCATTAAAAAAATATTGTAAATTCCGGCACGACTCCCCTAACAATCGCTCCATTTTGGTCATAACTTGGGGACTCCCTGTCCTTTGCTTCCTCCGTTCTGAATCTGTTCCTCATCAGCCCATTTCCCTTTTTTTGTGCTGCAGTGAAAAAGGAGCTTATGGCTGAAGCGGCGGCGAGCGATAAAGGGATCCCTGTGGATCAGAAGGTACGGGAAACGAGAGAGAAATGGCTGCCTTTGAAATGACTGTTGAGAGATTCCTGGGTTTTAATGGGCCCTGCCATAGAACGGCCTAACCTGGTTGAGTAGGAGGTCTTCTACGGTGGGAAGAGACATCTTGTCTTGGTTCCGACAGATGAAGCTCTTCCAAAGAACTTCGAGGCATTGTTTACCTTAAAGAATCTTTATTTGAGTAGCATAGCATCGGCACTAACACAGTTGAAGCCAAAAACTGGATTCCCCTCCCCTGAGCACATAGTATCAAAGCACAATTCCGTCCTCCAGTTAACAGTCATAAATCACATTCCCCAATTAGTTTAGAGCACCGGGCTTTCCCTCCAGCTCTCCAGCCCTGCCAATTCTTTATCATCTCTTATTTCAACAACCTTGGTTCTCACACTAGGTCCAGTGTTATTATGTCTAGCTAGACCAGTGGTTCTCAACCTGTGGGTCGGGACCCCATTTGGGGTCGATCGACCATTTCACGGGGGTCGCCAAGCAAGGCTGTCCGCCATTTTTTTTGTCCGCCATTTTTTTCCCCCTTTTCCGGCGGGTGCCTTACCTCCCTTGGGCTGGGCCAGCTGGTGGTCGGCCTGCTCCGTCTCTGCCGCTTGCCAGCTACGCCTCGNCCTCCCTTTTTCCCTCCCAACCTCCCTGTCACTTTTCCTTCCTTCCTTCCTTCTTGATTTCCTGCCTTTATTCTTTCCTCTCTCCCCTCCTCCTCCCTTCTTCCCTTCCTTTTTCCCTCCCAACCTCCTGCCACTTTTCCTTCCTTCCTTCCTTCCTTCCTTCCTTCCTTCCTTCCTTCCTTCCTTCCTTCCTTCCTTCCTTCCTTTTTTCTTTCTTTCTTTCTTTCTTTCTCCTCCCTCCTTCCCTTCCCTTCTCTCTCCTTCCTTCCTTCCTTCCTTCCTTCCTTCCTTCTTTGCTTGGCAGGGCGTCCTGGCTCTTAATTGTGGTTTGATTCCAATGTTTGCGGAATGGGGTGAGAGGACAGCCCATTTCTATGGGGCGTCAAGACCACAGTGGGGAAAAATAGTCTGTTGTGCGAGAGGGTTTTTTGCGATGAGGGAAGCTTGCAGGAAATACAGATGGAGCTTCACTTGTTTGCGTGGCCCAGTTTCTGGCGTGCCGCGGCCCGTGGCAGGTCCACGGCCCTGGGCGTTGGGGATCCCTGCTCTATAAGATACCCCAAGTCTGGTCTGCTTTTCTGATAAACGTCAACCGCACTGACCAAGGGTTCCATCATATATCATGTAATCAATCCTGGTTAGAAATGGAAGACCTTGGAGGTCTTCTAGTCCAGAGGTCACCAACCTTTCTCGGTTCGTGGACCGGAGGTAAAGGGGGGGGGAAGCATTATTACACACGCACGTACGTGCGCACGCACAGGGCTGCGAGCATCCACACGTGATGCAAACGGGCCGGGGCTAGCGCTTGCGTGATACTCACTAGCCCTGCCCTGTTCTTGCATGGCATAGCGTCCCCGTTTCTGCGCCCCGCAGCGTCATGGCACCTGTTTTTGCGCCCGGAGGTGCAGCGGCGGCCGATTTTCATGCCCTGCAGCGCGGCGCTGGGCTGTTTTCGTGCCCCGTGGTGCAGCGACGTCCCATTCGTGCCCCGTGGTGCAGCAGCATCCCTGTTTTTGTGCGCTGCAACACTAGCACGTGGGGGGGTGCACACACGTGCGCACACTGGCCAGGCTGTCCCACAGTCCAGTGGCCAGCAGGCCACGGCCCGCAGGTTGGGGACCCCTGTTCTAGTCCAACTCCCTGCTCAAAGCAAGGGATGCGCCGATGTCAGCGTACACACAGCTTTATTACCTTTCCTTCCCAGGTATCTTGATAATATCTACCTCCACCCGGAGGAGGAGAAATATCGAAAAATCAAGATTCAGAACAGAGTTTTCCAGGTAAGCCGACCTTTGGCGCCAGGATTCCAGGTGCTAGTTCCCTCTGGAGAATGACGGCTGTCAATTCTGGATGTTCTGTTTTTCTCTCTCGTGTTAACGGAGGGCTGCTTTGCAAAATGAAATTCAATGGTGAAAAAAGTAGGGTTCTACATTTAGGCAAGAAAAACCAAATGTACAGGTATAGTATAAGTGCTACCTTGCTCAATAGTAGCAACTATTGAGTCCTAGTGGACAATCACCTAAATATGAGCCAGCCGTGTGCTGCAGCTGCCAAAAAAGCCAACACAGTGCTAGGCTGCATTAACAGAGGGATAGAATCAAGATCATGTGAAGTGTTAATACCACTTTACAATGCCTTGGTAAGGCCACACTTGGAATACTGCATCCAGTTTTGGTCACCGCAATGTAAAAAAGATGTTGAGACTCTAGAAAGAGTGCAGAGAAGAGCAACAAAGATGATTAGAGGACTGGAGGCTAAAACATATAAGGAACGGTTGCTGGAATTGGGTACGTCTAGTTTAATGAAGAGAAGGACGAGGGGGACATGATAGCCATGTTCCAGTATCTCAGGGGCTGCCCCAAAGCAGTCAAGCTGTTCTCCAAAGCGCCTGAAGGCAGGACAAGAAGCAACGGATGGAAACTCATCAAGGAGAGAAGCAACCTAGAACTAAGGAGAAATTTCCTGACAGAACAATTAACCAGTGGAACAACCTGCCTCCAGAAGCTGTGAATGCTCCAACACTGGAGGTTTTTAAGAAGAGACTGGACAGCCATTTGTCTGAAATGGCATAGGGTTTCCTGCCTGAGCAGGGGGTTGGACTAGATGACCTCCAAGGTCCTTTCCAACTTTTTTTATTATTATTATTATTATTATTATTATTATTATTATTATTATTATTATTATTATTATTATTATTATTATTATTATTATTATTATTATTTTATATTATTTTATATTATTATTATTATTTTATATTATTATTATTTTAAATAGGGATAATTGTTAATGATTTTAAAGTTTCAGGGGATTTTTAAGGATAATTTTAATTGATCGGCCTATTTAAATATTTCTTTTTAATTCGGCTTTTAATTATTGTATTTGTATTGTAGTTTTATGAGGCTGTTAGCCGCCCTGAGTCCCATGAGGAGAAGGGCGGGGTATAAATTAAATTATAAATAAATANATTAAATTAAATTAAATTAAATTAAATTATTAAATTAAATTAAACGAGTGTCTCTCAACCGTGGCGGCTTGAAGATGGGTGGACATCAACTCCCAGAATTCTGGGAGTTGAAGTCCATCCATCTTCAAGCTGCCAAGGTTGAGAAACACAGCTTTAAACTCTCTGCTCGGCTGGAGGAAGTTAGAAACATCTATGACAGTGGTGGCGAACCTATGGCACGGGTGCCAGAGGCAGCACTCAGAGCCCTCTCTGTGGGCACGCGTGCCGTCGCCCCAGTCCTAGGCCTTCAGCTGGGTTTTATAAAACATTTTCGCTTTAGCCCTCCGCCGCCATGTGCAAAAAAAAAAAGGCTCAATCAGTCAATTTCAACTTCTTGCGGGGAAAAAAAAGGTCTTGCAAAGTTGGAATTGATTGACTGAACTTTTTAGTCCCACCCAGTCTGCCGTTACCACCGCAGCCATGCCCACCCAGTGGGTCACGTCCACCCAATGGGCCACATCCACCCGGCACTCGACGATGCATAAGTGGGTTTTGGGTTGCAGTTTGGGCACTCAGTCTCTAAAAGGTTCGCCATCACTGATCTATGAAAGTTCTTTCTATATAAACAAAAAAATCTGCAGGACACGTTCTTACAGACGAGTGGTCCTCTACTTACAACAGTTCGTTTAGTGGCTGTTCAGAGTGAACGATCAGGGGGAAAAAAGTGACCCCTTTTTCACACTGACGACCTTTCAAGCACCTCCCCATGATCGTGCGATCCAAATTCAGAAGCTTTGCAACTGACTCATAGTTACGACGGTCGCGGGAGTGTCCCGGGAGATGTACGATCCCCCTTTTGCGACCACTGCAAGTGATCCACTTAACAGCCGTGGTAGAAAAATTCGTAAAATGGGGCAAAAGTCACTGAAGAAATGTCTCCGCTTAACGGCAGAAATTTTGGGGTCCGTTGTGGTCATAAGCCGAGGAGTACTTGTATTAAGAGATTATTTTTTTTTTAAAATAAAGTAAGACATTCAGGATGAGGGCTCTTGCCCCTGGCCCAAAGGTGTCTGCCATCCAGGTATTTTCCCATCCGTTCTTAGTGTTGTTGTGGGTTCTCCTAATCAATTTGTGTTTTTGGTGTCTGTTGGTCAAAAAAGATGCCACAGCAAATAAGGGGATACTGGTCCCTCAAGCTCTTAGTTTCCTGATAGAAGTTGGGATAAAGCTCGCCCAGAAGAAGAATTAGCCTTCATGAATCTTCTCTGAGTTTTGTTTTTCCCCCCCTTCAGGAAAGGATCCACTGCCTGGAAGGAGCAGACAGTTTTTTCCAGGCGGTTGGATTCGAAAAGGTTGCTCTGGATGTCGGAGGACAAGGTAAGGCTTCATGTGCACTAGTGTTCCTTAACTCTGATAAAGTTACTTCGGCTGTTGTTCCTGTTCCATCATCCGTGGTGGCGCAGTGGTTAGAAGGCAGCATTGCAGGCTGACTGCCCATTGCCAGTAGTTCGATCCTGACTGGCTCAAGGTTGACTCAGCCTTCCATCCTTCCGAGGTCGGTAAAATGATGCAGATTGTTGGGGGGGGGGAATAGCTGACTCTGTAAACTGCTTAGAGAGGACTGTAAAGGACTGTGAAGCGGTGTATAAGTCTAAGTGCTATTTATAACTATATCTTCATATATATCTATCTTCTATCTACAATACCTATGTCTGTCTATCTACCTACTTACCTACCTATCTACCTACCTATCTATCTATCTATCTACCTATCTACCTATCTTATTTATCTGTCATTTATCTATGGTGGTGCAGTGGTTATAATGCAGTATTGCATGCTAATTCTGCCGATTGCCAGGAGTTCGATCCTGACCGGCTCAAAGTTGACTCAGCTTTCCGTCCTTCCGAGGTCGGTAAAGTGAGGACCCAGATTGTTGGGGGCAACAGGCTGACTCTGTAAACCGCTTACAGAGGGTTGTAAAGCACTGTGAAGCGGTATATAAGTCTAAGTGTATTGCTATTGCTAACTATCATCCATCTATCTATCTATCTCTCTATCTATCTATCTATCATATCTCTCTCTATCTCTACCTTCTGTCTGTACAATATCTTATCTCTGTGTCTGTCTGTCTGTCTGTCTGTCTGTCTGTCTCTATCTATCTATCTATCTATCTATCTATCTATCATCTATCTATCTATCTATCTATCTATGAACACGTTATTGCAGGTTGACTCTGCCCACTTTTAGCAGTTCGATCCTGACCGGCTCAAGGTTGACTCAGCCTTCCATCCTTCCGAGGTCAATAAAATGAGGACCCAGATTTTTTTTGGGGGGGGGGCAACAGGCTGACTCTATAAACCACTTAGGGAGGGCTCTAAAGCACCATGAAGCGGTATATAAGTCTTAAGTGCTATCGCTGTGGCTATCCTATCCTTCAGGGCGCTTCATTTTGTCCCCTCTCTCTGCTTTTCGGGTGTCTTTCCATAAACAGCCACGGGGTACAGGTAATCCTCGACTTAAAAACCACACAATTTCCATTGCTACGCAAGGCGGTTGTTGAGAGGATCGTGCCTGATTTGGTGACCTTTTTCTGCCACGGCTGTTAAGCGAATCGCTGCGGTTGTAAAGCAAATCACGTGGTTGTGAAGCAAAACTGGCTTTCCCCCGTGGACTTTGCTTTGTCGCAAGCCGGCTGGGGAAGTTCCGGATGGTGATCACACACGACCCTGGGATGCCACAACCGTCACAAATACCCACGACCGTTGCAGCATCCCCGTGGTCATGTGATCAAAATTCAGACGCTCACATTTACGACGTCGTGTCGCAGCATGCCTTTGGGGTCACACAATCCCCTTTGGCGACCTTCGGACAAGCCAAGTTGATTCCCTTAACCATGGCGAGAAAGGTCGCAAAATGGGGGCAAAACTCAGTTGACTGTCCTGATTAGCAATGGAAATTTTGGGCTCGTTTGTGGTCACAAGTCCTTGCATTGCGCTTTGTCTATGGCAGGGGTAGGCAACCTTGGCTTTTTCATGACTCGTGGACTTCAACTCCCAGAATTCCTGAGCCAGCCATGTTGAGGGGAAAGGGAGAGGTTTCCAAGCTGAGCCATGCTGGCTCAGGAATTCTGGGAGTTGAAGTCCATGAGTCATCAAAAAGCCAAGGTTGCCTACCCCTAGTCTATGGGGATAAAGTTAGCAACAACTGTGATCTAAAAGCACTGACAGGGAAGCCTAGTTGGCAAAGAAAGAAAACCAGAATAAGGCTGAAGAAAATTGGGGTTTTGACCTATTAGAGGGGATTTTACAGTATTAATTAGAGGGTTAAAGGGAGAAGTTGAGATAAAGGGAATTCTGGTCATTAGATTTAAAATATTTGGAAATTAGTTGAAAATAAGGGCTTTATCTGTTTAATATTTAAAAATTAGTCCTAAAACGAAAATGAAAATTATTATGAATGTGTGTTTGATTTATTGATTAACCCAGGTAATATACATAATGGTTTTGATTTATTAAAGGGGATATTGTATTATTAAGTAGATGATTTAATATGAAATAGATAACTTTTAGGAAATAGAACAAGATTATATTCAAATAGATAAAATGTGTATTTTGGATATTAGACAACACTGGAAGTTTTTAAGAAGAGACTGGACAGTCGTTTGTCTGAAATGGTATAAGGTTTCCTGCCTGAGCAGGGGGTTGGACTAGATGATCTCCAAGGTCCCTTCCAACTTTATTATTATTATTATTATTATTATTATTATTATTATTATTATTATTATGAATGGAGATACGGGAAATTTTGGTTACCTAAGGCTTGAAAATTATAAATATCAAAGGTTTAATTGGAATATTGATGAGAAACTAAAAATTGGGTAAAAATTAATAACAGGATATGGATTGTCCATGGAGATGGAATGTAATTAAGACACGTATTAGCTAAAAAATTATTGATAAATGCAACAATGATGTTTTTATTGAGTGGGCATAATAAGAATTGGACTAGCTTGAATACGAGACGGTCAATGTTAAGGGAAAAAGAGAAGAAATATTTGATGTTGCCATTTGAGATTTGCACTAAAGATGTTGTTATCGAACGATTGATGAATCCAGTCACCACGTGGCTTTTTAAAATACCTAAGCGTAAAATTGGAAAATTAATACAATACTTTTTTTTAAAAAAAGTTAGCAACAACTGTCTCACTTAAGCCATGGAAATTTTGGGCTCCACCGCGGTCGTAAGTAGCAGCAGCGGGCCGAAACAACGTCTGCTTTTCTTGCAGAAGAGGCCACGGAGGACTTCTACGTGCTGAAGGACGAAGCCTTGGAGAAGCTGGAGGACCTGAAAGAGCAGAGGGAGCAGCTGCTGACCGGCGAGCCGGTGAGGGCTCAGCTGGACCGCCAACTCCGCGTGTTCAAGCCGTCTCCACAGGCGTCTCGCTTCGAGCTGCCGAACGACTTCTTCAACCTCACGGCGGAGGAGCTGAGACGAGAGCAGAGGATGCGGTGAGCGGCCACCTCGGTTGGGATCTGGCGGCGGGAGTTGTGATTCCTCGCCAGCCAGTGGATCCGGCAGCTGAGTCTGGGGAATCAGAGGAGGAGGAGGAGGAAGGGCCTGGAGTGACATCCGAGTCAGAGGAAGGCTCTGTGGAGGTCCAAGACTTCAGAGTCGGACGAGAAGCCTGGCCCCTCTACTCGCGCTCAGGCTGAGCCGCAGCTGTGCTGGGAGTCTTGAGTTGGACAGTGGTCCCTCCCAACTTCATTATTATTATTATTATTACTAAGTCGAGGACCTACCTGCCCTTCCCCCTCTTGACCCTTTCCTCTTCTCTCTGAAGGACAGAAGCGATTGAAAAGGCCTCCATGCTGAGGACGAAGGCCATGCGAGAGAAGGAGGAGCAACGGGAGCTGCGCAGATACAACTACACCCTCGTGCGCGTTCGCTTCCCTGACGGGTACATCCTGCAAGGTAAAGCGGGGGGGGGGGCTGGTGGTTGGCTGCGTGGAACAGGTCGTCCTCGACGTAGGAGCACCAGCCAGCCCAAAAAAATTCTGTTGCTAAGCGGGAGAGTTGTGAACTGAATTTTGCCCCATTTTTACCCCCTTCCTGGCCAACGTTGTTAAGTGAATCACTGCAGTTCATAAGAGAGTAGCAACATGCCGCTTCACACTGCATTGCAGCCCTCCCTAAGCGGTTTACAGAGACGCCCTATGGCCCCCTCTCCCAACAATCTGGGTCCTCATTTTACCGACCTCGGAAGGATGGAAGGCTGAGTCAACCTTGAGCCGGTCAGGATCGAACTCCTGACAGAGAGCAGAGTCTGCCTGCAATGCTGCATTCTAACCACTGCGCCACCAGGGCTCTTGAGAGAGACAGAGACAGATAGATGGATAGATAGATATTTGTAGATAGACAGAACATAAAAGACAGACAGACAGACAGATAGATCCATCCATCCATCCCTGCTAAGCAAGGCAGTTCTCAAGTGAGCGTTGCCCCCTTTTATGACTTTTCTTGTCACAATTAGCAATAGCAATAGCACTCAGACTTATATATCGCTTCACAGTGCTTTACAGCCCTCCCTAAGTGGTTTACAGAGTCAGCCTATTTGCCCCCAACAATCTGGGTCCTCATTTTACCGACCTCGGAAGGACAGAAGGCTGAGTCAACCTTGAGCCGGTCAGGATCGAACCGCTGGCAGTGGGAACACAGAGTAAGCCTGCAAGACTGCATTCTAACCACTGCGCCACCAGGGCTGTTGAGAGAGAGAGAATATAGACAGAAAGACAGACAGATAGGCAGTGTTAGGCAGATATTGTAGATAGGCAGAAGACAGACAGACAGACAGATAGCAGTAGCACTTAGATTTATATACCGCTTCACAGTGCTTTATACAGCCCTTTCTAAGCGGTTTACAGAGTCAGCCTATCTGGGTCCTCATTTTACCGACCTCAGAAGGATGGAAGGCTGAGTCAACCGCGAGCTGGTCAGGATTGAACTCCTGGCAGTCGGCAGAATCAGCCTGCAATACTGCATAGGAAGGAAGGAAGGAAGGAAGGAAGGAAGGAAGGAAGGAGAGGATGGAGGGAAGTAAAAAAGAAGGGAAAAGGGAGGAAGGAAAGAGAGAAGAAAGGAAAAGGAGAAAGGAAAAAGGGAGGAAGGAGAGAAAGAAAGAGAAATAGGGAAGGAAGGAAGAAAGGAGAAGGAAGGAAGGAAGGAAGGAAGGAAGGAAGGAAGGAAGGAAGGAAGGAAGGGCAATAGCAGTAGACTTATATACCGCTTCACAGTGCTTTACAGCCCTGTCTAAGCAGTTTACAGAGTCAGCCTATGGCCCCCAACAATCTGGGTCCTCATTTTACAAACCTCAGAGGGACAGAAGGCTGAGTCCACCTTGAGTCAGTCAGGATCAAACCCCAGGCTGTGGGACTGCAGAGTTAGCCTGCAAGACTGCATTCTAACCACTGGGCCATCCCAATTCTTAACAGTCGTTAAGTGAATCCGGCTTCCCTCTTGACTGTGCTTGTCAGAAGTTCACAAAAGGTGATCTGGGTCACTGCAGCCATCCTAAATATAGGAGCCAGTTGCCAAGCCTCTGAATTTTGACCATGTGACCCTGGGATGCTGCAACGGCCGTGTGAAAACCTGTCATAAATCACTTTTTTCTGCGTAGTTGTAACTTCGACCGGTCCCTAAATAAACGGTTATAAGTCGAGGATTACCTGCAGTCGGTCCCCAGTGAGTGAAGGCTTACTGGAGTCAGGTGTTCGATGCACCTAGTCCGGGAGCACCCAGAAATTGTGGGAGTTGAAGTCCACAAGTTTTAAAAGTTGCCAAATTTGGAAACCCCTGTCCAACGTGAAATCCTGAAGAACCGTTGTGATTCCGTGCCAGCCTGTGATCCTGGTAGTTGAGTCTGGGGAATCAGAGGAGGAGGAGGAGGAGGAGGAGGGGTCTGGAGAGCCAGCAGAGTCGGAGGGAGGCTCTGATGAGCTGCAGGACTTACAAACTAATGAAGAGGCTGGTCTGTCCACTCGTGTTCAAGCTGAGAGCCAGCTGTGCTGGGAAGCTGAGTCGGACTCGGAGGAAGCACAGCTGGAAGACCTCAGAGACGTTCGTAAACGTAGGCAGGTCACATGAGCAGGACAGAGGGAGGCAGTGGGGCGACTCCAGGGGAAGAGGAGAAAGCAGTGAGAAGCCACACCTTGGGGGCTGCCTAACAAAAAGGGAATGTGTGGGCAGGGCTGGTTGCTGGAGGCAACCGGTTGCAAGAGATCGTGGTCTGTTTATTTTGCTTGTGACTTGTGTTTGACTCATGCTCCGTTTTACTTTTGGAAAAAGTGTTGTGTTGCTTTTTAGTTTTCTGGGACAATTATCAGGTCTGTAACTCAAATAAAAAGGGTTTATTTTCCAGTCTACTGTTAAAAGAGGGGTTGTCTTTGTGAAGTAACAAGGACATGTGTAGGCTGCGACAGAACAAGAACCACAGCTGGTCTCTACTGTCTAGTCCAGGGGTAGGCAACCTTGGCTCTTTTATGACTCGTGGACTTCAACTCCCAGAATTCCTGAGCCAGCATGAAGTCCACGAGTCATAAAAGAGCCAAAGTTGCCTACCCCTGATCCAGTCCTTACTTAACAGGTGGTCCTCGACTTAACGACCGTAATTGAGTCCAGAATTACGGTCATTAAGTCATGCCGATTGTTAAACTACAGTTAGTCCTCGACTTACGACCACGACTGAGGCCGAAATTTATGTAGCTGAGACATTTGTTAAGCGAGTTTTGCCCCGTTTTACGGCTTTCCTTGCCACGATTGTTAAGTGAATCACTGCAGGGGTTAAATTAGTAAGACGGTCGTTAAGTCAATTTGTTTTCCCCATTGTCAGAAGGTCGTAAAAGGGGAATCACGTGACCCCTGTCATAAATACGAGTCCATTTTCCACCCTCCGGAATGTAAATCACGTGACCATGGGGGGGAGGATGCTGCCAAGGTCGTAAGTGTGAAAAACAGCAGTAAGTCACTTTTTTTCAGGGCCGTCGTAAGTTCGAACGGTCACTAAACGAACCGTTGTAAGCCGGGGACTATCTGTCCTTGCCGTGGGCCTGTGCCTAACTTTGCAAGGTTTTTTTGTTTCAGGATGTTGTTAAGCAGATGTTGCGGTCGTTAAATGAACACAGCTCCTATCCAAGCTACGAAAGGCAGCTGGAGATGAAAAATCTTTTTTTTTTTTCCGCCCCTGCAGGGACGTTTTACGCCCGAGAGCCGGTTTGCGCTGTGTTCCAGTTTGTGCGGGAGACTCTGCAGAACGACTGGCTGCCCTTTGAGCTGCTGGCCCCCGGGGGCCACAAGTTGACCGACGAGGGCCTGGCCCTCAACGAGTGTGGACTGGTAAGTATCCAGGTTCCTTGGAGAGAGGGGGAGGCCTCTGATTAGATTAATAATAATAATAATAATAATAATAATAATAATAATAATAATAATAATAATAATTGTTATTGTTATTGTTATTGTTTTGTTATTGTTATTGTTATTGTTATTGTTATTATTTATTGTTATTATTTATTATTATTATTATTATTTACGTCTCACCATATTTTTTATGGAGACAGCAGAATAGACGAGAAAGAACTGGAGAAGATCACAAAATACAAAGACCTACAAATAGAAATAGAAAGACTGTGGCAAAGGCAAGCAAGGGTAGTACCAATAGTCATAGGCGCCTTGGGTGCAATCCCAAAACAACTGGAGCACCACTTGAACACCATCATCGGCATTGACAAATTTGCCATTAGTCAGTTGCAAAAGGCAGCCTTACTAGGAACCGCTTCCATCCTGCGACTATATCTGTAATACCATCAAACATCCACATCTGCCTATCCCAGGTCCTGGGTAAGGACTCGATAGGTAGACAAAATGCCAGATCCAGTCTGAACATCTGGCTGACTGTGTGATGATCCATAATAATAATAATAATAAAGTTGGAAGGGACCTTGGAGGTCATCAACTCCAATCCCCTGCTCAGGCAGGAAACCCTATGCCATTTCGGACAAATGGCTGTCCAGTCTTAGATTAACCTTTATTGCCAGTGTTGAAGAATTCACAACTTCTGGAGGCAGGTTGTTCCACTTGTCAATTGTTCTAACTGTCAGGAAATTCCTCCTTAGTTCTAGGTTGCTTCTCTCCTCGGTGAGTTTCCATCCGTTGCTTCTTATCCTGCCTTCGGGTGCTTTGGAGAATAGCTTGACCCTCCCCTTCTTTGGGGCAGCCCCTGAGATATTGAAAGACTGCTATCCTGTCCCCCCTCGTCCTTCTCTTCATTAAACTAGACATACCCAATTCCAGTAACCGTTCCTTATATGTTTTAGCCTGCAGACCTCTAATCATCTTTGTTGCTCTTCTCTGTACTCTTTCTAGATGTTCTAAACCAGGGGTCTTCAAACTTGGCCCTTTTATGACTTGTGGACTTCAACTCCCAGAATTCCTCAGCCAGCATGCCTGGCTGAGGAATTCTGGGAGTTGAAGTCCACAAGTCATCAAAGGGCCGAGGTTGAAGACCCCTGCTCTAAATGTTATAGGACATTTTGTACTATGTCCTACAAAGTTCTGTGATAACCTTTATAATAACTATACGGCCTACTTTCAAGGGAGATACATCTCTGAAGATCTCCCTGGTTTAAGACATTTTCCCCTGAAGGCAGTATAGGTTGTTCTTGACTTAACAACCGAGGCCAAATTTTTCCATTTCTTGGGTCTTGCTCCATTTTATAACTTTTTCGGCCATAGTCTAACTCAGGGGTCGGCAACCATAAACCCTCAAAGAGCCACTTGGACCCCTTTCCCACAGAAAATAAAACACTGGGAGCCGCAAAACTCGCGTGTACGTGTGCCAGAGGGGAGGGCTTGATTGAAGAATTTAATTAAAAAGAAATGGAGGGTGCTGTGCATGAGTTCTCTCTCTCTCTCTCTCTCTCTCTCTCTCTCTCTCTCTCTCTCTCTCTCTCTCTCTCTCTCTCTCTCTCTCTCTGTGTCTGTGTCTCTCTCTTTCTTTCTCTCCCTCCCTCTCTTTTTTCTCTCTCTCCCTCTCTCTCTTTCCTCTCTCTCTCCCTCTGATCTTCTGCTCACCTGGCAAGCTGGCTTCACACAAGCTGACACACATTCTTATTGGGCTGGCTCTCTCCTGCCCTTCCTGCTTCCTGCAGAGATGCAGCCAAGGCAGGAGCCCCGCCCAATAAGCTTGTGAGCTCATCGGAGAACAGCGTGAGGCCACTTTTTTTTTACAGAGAGAGAGAGAGAAGAGAAAGGAAGGGAAGGGCAAGTGCCTCTCTCTGTCTTGTTTCTCTCTCTGCAAATGGCAGAGGAGGCTCAGAGCCGCAGGGGAAGGCTCAAAGAGCCACGTGCGGCTCTGGAGCCGCGGGTTGCTGACCCGTGGTCTAACTCCCTGTTTCCCTGCTGGTGCCTCGAAAAACCCCTGCTAAGCTTTTCTCTTTTTTTTCCTCCCTTCTTCCTCCCCAAGGTGCCCTCCGCGCTGCTGACCTTCGTCTGGGACGCCGAGGTCATGGCGGATATCCAAGCCTCCCGGGGCGAGCACATGGGAAGCGTGCTGAAGCCCGACCTGCTGCTCACGGTGCAGATGCTCTCCTGAAAATAAAAGGCGCAATGGGGTTGGATCCGGCTCCGTCCTGTGTGCTCCCCGACTCTCCTGAAGCCAGCCTCTCCACTTCCCTCTGCGCCTGGTCTTCTGCGCCCGTTAAAAGAGCCACAGACGTGACTTTCCCTAGCCGGCGGTTGAGCCGGCTGGCGAGAGGGCAGCTGCCCAGGAGAAGAGCCGATTTTGGCTTCCCCAGGCTTGGCAGGCGGAGCGCTCAAACTTGGGAGGACAAAAATGGATATTTTTCCAGCGTAGCAGCTTCTATTTTCTTTTTGTTTTGTTTTGTTTTGGGAAGTTTCACAGATCTCCATTTTGCTGGTCTTTTTCTAGCTTCAAAGCACCTTTTGGGGTGGGAAAAGAGGCATGGCGCCAGGGCGAGGCCCAGCAAACGGGAGAGTTGTTTGCTTGAAAACAAACCCCGGTTTACGCTGGCCGATCATGGCTTTCACCGAGCACTTTCAGGCCTGCACGAGGTCCTGAATCACGTCGTTTTATTTTTTTTTGTTTTGTTTTAGGGCATAGATAAGCCGTTAAGCTTTACGGGAGAAGGAATGTACGTACACTACTACAGTCGCCGACCTGCGTGTTTGCTACTCTTTAAGTTATAGGTTGTGGGGAAAGAGTTCTGAAAGATCCAATCCCGTAGTTTTCCCGCTTTCCCCCCCCCCCCCCAGTATTTTTACGGAGGCGGTTTTGGGGCAGGAATTGTTGCAAGAAATACACCTTTTTGTTTTAAATAAAATCCTGTGCAGCTGTTGATGTCGGGTGGGGGGGGTTTCTTCCAGATGTTGGAGCGAATCCCTCGGAGCAGTGCAAGCTATTGTGAGTCTCTCTTTCTCTGCCCTGTTTTTGTGGACTTGCGTGCTCCTGCCTGCTTCCTCTGCTCGTTCTTAGCGAGGAATGAGGAATGCTGCTTTAGACCTTGGTTTAGATTTTTGTTCCGTGCTGCTGGGGGTGGTGGGGCAAGACAAGTAGATGGAATTAAAAGGTAAAGCCACACACACACACACACCACCCCATTTTAGCAGCCTGGGGTTAACCATTTTCAGTTTTGTTGGTGGCTCCATTCTTATCCAATAGAGCCTTCGTTTGGGCCAGTCGGAGTTCGATGGGGAGATTAAACGCCACTCTTCACGATATACAAAGATACGCATTAAACGGGGTTTATTTTATTTTATTTTTAACCTCTTCTCCCTTTGTTCTGTGGAAACTGGACTCTTAACCTGTTGAAATGCAGCCTTTGGAAAGTCACTTGCAAAAAAATGTGGTCCTTTTCTTCTCTTCCCCCCCCCAAAAAAACCCCCACCTTTTTTTCTTTCTGGATTCAAGTCGTGTGTCTTTTCTTTTTTTTCTTCAAGCGGATTCATAACAAAGTGTGAGGTGTAAAAACTGTACAATTAATACCGTTTGGATGACGTTTAAAAGAAAGGCAGCGGTTTAAAATGTCGGCTTGGCTGTGTGTGCTTGGGGGGGGGGCAGTTTGGCTAATTATTTAATGGCTACAATGGCTAGTCCCAAGAGTTGCACAAACGGGTTCTGTTCCTGGAATTGAGACCCCCCCCACACGGCTCCTTTTAATAATGTAAGAAAACGAAATAGCTACAGGCTTGAGATGCTGGAACTTCACTGGTGACTCGTCTATCAAGTCTTCTGTTGATACAAGGGAATACTTGAAGCTCAGCGTTGAACTGTAGGGGTCCTTGGTGCTTTCGTGACCCAACTAGGTAATATCACCAGTGTTGAGTGGAGGAGGAGAATAATAATAATAATAATAATAATAATAATAATAATAATAAAGTTGGAAGGGACCTTGGAGATCACCTAGACTAACCCCCTGCTCAGGCAGGAAACCCTATATCATTTCAGACAAATGGCTGTCCAGTCTCTTCTTAAAAAACTTCCAGTGTTGGAGTATTCACCGCTTCTGGAGGCAGGTAGTTCCACTGGTTAATTGTTCTGACTGTCAGGAAGTTTCTCCTTAGTTCTAGGTTGCTTCTCTCCTTGATCAGTTTCCATCCGTTGTTTCTTGTCCTGCCTTCAGGCGTTTTGGAGAAGAGCTTGACTCCCTCTTCTTTATGGCAGCCCCTGAGATACTGGAAGGCTGCCATCATGTCCCCCCTCGTCCTTCTCTTCATTAAACTAGACATCCCCAATTCCAGCAACCGTTCCTTGTATGTTTTAGCCTCCAGGCCCCTAATCATCTTTGTTGCTCTTCTCTGCACTCTTTCTAGAGTCTCAACCTCTTTTTTACATCGTGGTGACCCAAACTGGATGACGTATTCCAAGTGTGGCCTTACCAAGGCCTTGTAAAGTGGTATTAACACTTCACGTGATCTTGATTCTATCCCTCTGTTAATGCAGCCTAGGAGAGGAAGAAAAGAACTGGGGGGGTCCTTGGTGCTTTTGTGACCCAACTAGGTAATACCATCAGTTTTGGGAGTGTGGGGGTTGGGGAGTGAAGGAGGAGAAGGGGAGGAAAGGAACTGGGTAGTCTCTGAGCTGGGTTGTTTTCTTGCAGCGGCATCTTTGCAAAGACCACTCTTGATCTTGGAGCAGGCTAAATCATGCCCTGCATCGGCAGGGCCGGCTGGGGAATTCTGGGAGCTGAAGTAATAATAATAAAGTTGGAAGGGACCTTGGAGGTCATCTGGTCCAACCCCCTGCTCAGGCAGGAAACCCTATACCATTTATATTATATTTAGATTATCTCCAAATGGCCAAGGTTGAGAAGCACAGGGCTAGATGAACGAAGGGCCTGAAACATTCAGAGCTTCCTTGAACACAGCTGAAGTAAACCAGAACGTCTGGCTGAATTAGATCTCTTCACTCACTGCTCTTCTTTTTTTTCCTGCCTGATGGGGCCGAGGATGCTTGTGGAAAGTCTAGACCAGGGGTAGGCAACCTTGGCTCTTCTATGACTCGTGGACGTCACCTCCCAGAATTCCTGAGCCAGCATGGGGGAACTATGGCCCCCTCATGACTGGTGGACTTCAACTCCCAGAATTCCTGAGGCAGCCTGGCTCAGCTTGGAAACCTCTCCATTTCCCCTCAGCATGGCTGGCTCAGGAATTCTGGGAGTTGAAGTCTACGAGTCATAAAAGGGCCAAGTTTGAAGACCCCTGCTCTTAATCTTCGTCCTAGGCCAGAGGTAGACAACCTTGGCTCTTTTATGACTCATGGACTTCAACTCCCAGAATTCCTGAGCCAGCCATGCTGAGGGGAAAGGGAGAAGTTTCCAAGCTGAGCCATGCTGGCTGAGGAATTCTGGGAGTTGAAGTCCACGAGTCATAAAAGAGCCCAGGTTGCCGACCCCTGGTCTAGACGGAACAGGATTGGGGTTTTTAGAGAGGGCAATGAGAACACGGGGAACAGTGAGGAAATTTGCAGATTGCAGACTTTTGCTTTTGAAGGAGGAAAGCAGAAGGTTCGCTTGGAGAGGCGAGTTAGAATTCAGAAAAAGGGTGAGGGGCAGTTCCTGGAGCAGAGGGACCTCTGTTGATGGAATATTTGGAGCTCAGGGTTGAACCGTGGGGTCCTCGCTGCTCTCTGAACTCGCTTGTTTTCTTGCAGACGTTTCATGACCCAACTAGGCAACGTCATCGGTGCTAGAAGGGAGGGGAGTTTGCAGAGAGGAGGAAGAGGAGGGTGAGGACTGTGGGGTCCTTGGTGCTCTCTGCACTCGGTTTTTTTTCTTGCAGACATTTCATTACCAAACTAAGTAACATCATCAGTGCTAGAAGGGAGTGGGGTTTGCAGGGGAGAGGAAGAGGAGAACGACGATTATGGGGTGTTTGGTGCTCTCTGAGCTTGCTTGTTTTCTTGCAGACATTTCATTACCCAACTAGGTAACGTCATCGGTGCTAAGGGTGTGAGGGTTATGGAGTGGAGAAGAAGGGGAGGAGGAAAGGAACCGAGAGTCCTTGGTGCTCTCTGAGCTTGGTTGTTTTCTTGCCAAAGTTTCATTACCCAGCTAGGTAATATCATCAGTGCTAGAGGTGTGGGGATTGTGAAGTGGAGGAGGAGGAAAAGGATTGTGGGGTCCTTGGTGCTCTCTGAGTTTGGTTGTTTTGCAGGCATTTCACTACCCAACTAGGTAACATCAGTGCCAGAAGGGAGTGGAGTTTGCAGGGAAGAGGAGGAGGAAGGAAGGAAGGAAGGAAGGAAGGAAGGAAGGAAGGAAGGAAGGAAGGAAGGAAGGAAGGAAGAAGTAAGTAAGTAAGTAAGTAAGTAAGTCTTGGTGCTCTCTGAACTTGGTTGTTTCCTTGCAGACGTTTCACTACCCAACTAGGTAACATCATCAGTGCCAGAAGGGAGTGGAGTTTGCAGGGAAGAGAAGGAGGAAAAGGAAGGAAGGAAGGAAGGAAGGAAGTGGAGTCTTGGTGCTCTGAGCTTGGTTGTTTCCTTGCAGACGTTTCATGACCCAACTAGGTAACCTCATTAGTGCTAGAAGGGAGTGGAGTTTGTAGCGAGGAGGAGGAAGGGAGGGGGGAAGGAAGGAAGGAAGGAAGTGTAGTCTTTGTGCTCTGAGCTTGCTTGTTTTCTTGCAGACATCTCATTACCCAACTGGGCAACGTCATCAGCGCTAGAAAGCTTTGCTCTCTGTTTATATACAGCGGCTCGCACTACCAACTCAGACCAACAAACAACATACAGCAGCGTAATCCAGGAACCGCCAAGAGCGCTCCCACCGACACTGACAGGACCAGCCCCTTGTTTATAAACAAGAGACTAAACCCCACTGACTCCCTTCTAGCACTGATGACGTTACCTAGTTGGGTCCTGAAACGTCCACAAGAAAACAGCCAAACTCAAGACAGCGCCCCGGAGACCTCTTGTTTTAGAAGCAGACATTTTCATACCAGCAGCCATAAACCCAAAAAGATTAAACACACTTTTCAATCTAGGCGGGGGAGTGCAAAAAAAACAACACACCACTGCATCTTCTACAGAGCCCTTCAAAAATTCAATAATGCTTTTATTAGAGAGATTATATACGCCCTATATTTTATTCACCTACAGCCCTCCCCCCCC